ATGGGTGAATGGATGGGTGGATGGGTGGATGGCAGATGGGTGAATGGGTGAATGGTGAATGGGTGAATGGATGGGTGGATGGGTGGATGGCAGATGGGTGAATGGGTGCTTGGGTGGATGAATGAGTGGAAGGAAGGATAGATAAGTGGATGAGTGGATGGAATAAATCCAAGCAGGTGTGTTGGCCTCCGGGAGCAGGAATGGACAACCCTGCTCTAACATCGGTTCACTGAGCGTTCACCACGCCAGCCCTTTGCAAGGCACTGCCTGGTCGGCACCTGCCCTCTCAAAGCACTCCTCACCATGAAGGCGTTGACCATGGAGCCCAGTATGGCCTGCAGCAGGAGCAGGATCGTCCCCACGGGGCACTGGTCGGTGATGACCCGGTGGCCGTAGCCGATGGTCGTCTCGGTCTCGATGGAGAAGAGGAAGGCAGAGATGAAGCCGTTGACGTTGTTCACGCAAGGGGTCCATGACTCGTCCTCCAGGTGGTCCAGGTCTCCTCTAGTAAGAGGGTAAGGGCAGGAGATTTCGAAAAGTCACCATCGCACACTGAGCGCCAAGCACATTTGTTATTACACTATTCAAAATCTTGCTTTGTGGCTGGTTGTGATATTTGAGACATTTTCATTTAATAAAAACACAATAGGTAAAAATAAATAGCTAAGATTTCAACCGTTTGCCACACTGCAACAACCCTTTTATTAGTGCAGGAGAGTTTAAGGCCACATGCGTGCAATCCCTTGAAACATGTCCTATTCTGCAATGGAAGGCAAGGCAAGAGTACTGTGGTTTAGAATACCTCACCTGTCTGTGCCAGCACCTGGGAACCCCAGTAACAGTACTCTGAGAATATAGCCTACAGTGATCTAACCATGTTTCAACCACAGGACCCAAGTAGTTCTTGTGAACATGCACGGTTAATAGTTGAGCCATTTTGGAGCTCCAGGGCAAATGTTTGTGCCCAATGTGCAAAGTGTAGATCCACCTATAGTGCCCACTACACAGAGATTTGTCCGCTCTGCAGTGCCCATTGCACAGAGAGTTGACCCACCTGCAGTGCCCACTGCGCAGACCCATTGCACAGAGTTGCCCCCTCTGCAGTGCCCATTGCACAGAGTTGCCCCCTCTGCAGTGCCCATTGCACAGAGTTGCCCCCTCTGCAGTGCCCATTGCACAGAGTTGACCCACCTGCAGTGCCCACTGTGCAAACAGTTGACCCACCTGCAGTAGGCGATGAGGTACCAGATGGCGCCGAAGAAGAGCCAGGTGACGGCGTAGGCCATGACGAAGACGAAGAGGGAGCAGCGCCAGTTGAGGTCCACCAGCGTGGTGAAGATGTCGGTCAGGTAGCGGTAGGTCTCCCGCACGTTCCCGTGCTGCACGTTGCAGCGGCCATTCTTCTCCACGTAGCGCTGCCTCTTCCGCCTGTTGCGCGCTGCCGAGGGGGGAAGGGGGTGGAGGGACAACACACCCACGCCCCGTTAGCGGCCATCGCCTCGAAAGCACGAGCAAAAACCAGACAACTCAAAGACCCACAAACCCTCAAAGACAGGGGCATCACACAGTTCTCCTTTCCTGCCGGTTAGAGCTCTCAGATGACCCCCTCCCACCCCTTGCTACCTGTCACCAAGGGGCGTGTCCGAAGAGCTCCAGGGGTCCCGTTGGACTACAGAGTGCCAGTTGCTAGTGGCAACCAGCATATTCGCTTGCAGTCACAATCCGTCACAAACCTTGTGCAAACTAGGTCGGGGCGCCTATCAATCAAGACTAACATCTTTCAATCCGGCAGCCGATCCACCAGACCGTCATCCCCCTCAGCAGGATATTTAAAGGGGAACTGCAACACTATTTTTATATTTTGGGGTCAGAAAGAATCAGCATTGTTGAGTGCTGAAATCTCATTTCAAACCACAATGAAAGTAAAATGACTCTACTGACTTGTTAACTCTGCATTCAGATCGTGTTGGAACATTTCTGAGGTGAAACGTCTGCTGAACAACCTATATTTATTCGCTCCTACATCTCAGTGCATTAGCCTTTACAGTGACTAGTGAGCAGGAAGGGCCCGTTTCAGTCATAATTCTCACGCACTCTCGCTCTTGTCTGTGGCGAGACCAGCACTATGGGACAGCACGGTGACCGTACAGTACTTTGATAAAGTTCATGATTTCCTGCTTAATTTGGAATTTGCACAATTTGTTTGCGACACCATCGATGAATTTATTTTGCTCCCCAGTTTTAGTAACTGGTCTGAGAAACTGGGACTGCTGTTCCCCTTTCAAGGCAGGATTCTCTCCTTGAACGGCGCTCTGACGGTAGAGCTTCCCTGTTAGGGCCTGCCGACGTGTCACCGTCGTGCGGTTTCTTATCTGCTAGACTGAGACAGGCATCTGATAAATTCAAGACCAACTTTCAGCTCTCCTTTCATTTTCAGACAAGTGACTTACAACTTTATCTCAGAGGGTCTTGTCCTGTCTCCCTCTACGGCACTGTAACACTGCCTTCAGTGAGATGACTTAGAGCACCTGTGGCCAAGAAAAACATGGACAGAAACCCCTTCTTCCCTGTGCAGTCACTATATTAAACGCAGCTGAGTGACTGTTCTCTGTATGAAGCTCTCAGGCTAGTGCAATGGGGGTGTAATATGGGCAGAGCGAGATTTGTATATATGTGTTGTTTGCATGCTTAGAGCTACTGTCTGTTTAAATGTATATTTATTTTATGTCGAGTGTCATTTTTTGTTGTTCTGTATAGAGATGCCAAAGAAAAAGTTATATCTTACAGTATTTTCCTCAGTCGTATAAGCTGTTTGACATCTTTTTAGGTCTTTTTAGGGTTTTTAAGAACCTGCTTAATTGACCATAGTGTGCATCTCACCAAGGCCTTCATCCATGCATTTTATAGCCACTTTATCCAAAACAGGGTTGCAGGGCAGCTAGAGCCTATCCCAGCAAGTGACAGGCGTAGGGCAGGGTACACCCTGGATGGGACGCCAGTTCCTGACACACCCGGGCCAATATTCCCAGATGCCAGTTCGCCTACCAGTATGTCTTTGGAGGAAATCAGAGCACCTGGAGGAAACGCATGTGAACACAGGGAGAACATGCAAACTCCACCCAGACAGCATCCCAGGAATTGAACCCAGGATCCCAGTGCTGTGAGATAGCAATGCGAAATGCTGCACCACCATGCTGCCCCTCACCTGGGCTACATATATCAAATAATATAAAAAATATTTTCTGCAAGAACCGAAATGGACTGGTTTGTTTGATCACGGTACTTGGTGATAACGGCTCTGTGCTGACTAAGCGGTCTTGCACACTGCGCTCAGCTTAACAGCAGAAGAGTACTGAGCAGGCCGAGGAGTACTTACTCCACCCACAGCGTCCTCGCTCTCCCAGAGCCCCCGCCACCTGGCTCTTCCTCTTCCTGTGTTCCCTGGCGGCAGCCTCCGCCTCCCGGGCGGCCAGCTTGGACTGGAACGACCTGTTATTGGTGGAGGCCGTGGGGGGCGTGTCCGTGGAGAACACGCCCTCTTCCTCAGCTTTGGGAGAGACCACGCCCTCCGGTTTCTCCACCTCCTCCTTTGGCTCCACCCCTTCCTGGGTTCCGGGTGGGGAGAGGGATTCGGGAAGCGAAGTGAAGGTGGAGTTCTCCAAGGCCATCTTGCCTCGGATTCTTTTATCGTGGCTGCAGATGGGGTTTCTCTCTCTGCTCTTTAGCGCCTAGTCGTTTTGGAACATCTACAAAAAAAAACAAGAAATCAAGCAATCAAGGATCAATGAACTCCCCCTTTAGTCTATCGTAATCATTCAAGGCGCTTAACTTTTTTTTTCTGGGACGAGCTGCATTACAGTGTAGAAATCTGGCTCTGGCTTGGGAGACATTACTCCTGATATGGCTTGGGAGAATTTTGAACAGACTCCTGTGTGTATGTGACATCTCAGGAATTACAGCAAGAATAGCCATAAGTGGAATGGTCAGTTATAAACCCCTATTCATGGCGATAACGTAGGGTTTCCCTGACTGTACCTGGCATATAAACCCCTCTGTAGCACTGGTGTAATTCGGGGCATTGTGGGTAAATAAACCTTGTGTGTGTCTTGTCATGCAATTGTATCAAAGAAGAGCTAGAAGAGGTGCTCTTATTCACTCAGTAAGGTCTTTATTCATATTGCAATATGGGAAAAAGAAATCACTGGTCTGTGCAGAGAAGTGAAGGCTGATTCAAAAGCAGGAAGAGCCTTCGTTTTATATCTTTTTTTTTAGCTGATGCATCACTTCAAGGACAGGCGAAGCAGTAATTTTCCATTACTTATAGGTTTCTGCTTTAAGCAAAGAAAAGAGTAGTTATTCAAATAGTATCTCATACTCCCTTCTTCAAGCAGCAGAGATAAACATTATTAAAACATCCCGTGCCCTAGACGAGCTGGGTGCTATCACACTTTGTTCTAAAAATCCAGCTGCTTCTGCAACACAGCTCTGCCCGTAAACAATATTTTTAGGATAAAACACCCTTTTTCTCAGTAACTTTCCATTACAGTCTCCTTCAGTGTTCTCTGGAAGTGGCCATTTTTGTCACAATTAAACTCATCCCAAACCTTCGCTGGACTGCGCTGTGACTCCTTGCATCCCTACAGCAGACTGCACTTGAACATGCCTTATGGATCCAATCAAAACCTTCAGAGCTTCTTGGATCTGAGACAGAGAATGTCTTCGTCTTTTAGGTCCAAGGCTGCAAAACCGTCACTGACTAGATGCACTGATTTGAAATTGCCCTAGGGACATGAGGATCTCCCTCCGGAGCCGACGAGTGGTGGCACAGCGGAGAGGCGAAAAGCAAACCAAAGGGAAAGACCATAAAGTTTCGATAAGGAGGAAGCCTCTGGGGAGCTTGACCGGCAGCACAGAGTGGGGAGGGGTCAGGGATCTGGATGGCTGACCACAGGGTTGGGAGCCCAAATTCCAGGACCCCACCGCAGGATCCAGGAGCAACGAGCTTCCCCCATATTGCTCTATTAAACTCAGCTGTCAGCTGAGAGTTTTTCCTTTACTGACTGATCGTGCTGGCCAGCTGTGTTCTGAAATGATTGCGATTCGGAGTGACATGGAGGAGGCTGATTATGAGCAACACTCCTACAGAGATCAGCGTTTTCTACATCGCTCATTTGGAGTCCGTACCACGAACGAGAGGGCCTTTCAGGATCCCCTGCACTGAAAAATAAGATACAACCTGATTTGACCCACCTGCAGTCCACAGAAGACATTTCTGCCTTCACTGTGATCGTCTGCTTCAGGCCCCGCCTTATGCCTTAGATGCCAGATAGGCACCCATGTATATGTGTATATTGTATATGTGTACATATATACATATATTGAGACACATTTCATTCCATTACTCATTTGTTGCTGCTTAATACTTCATTATATATTAAAACATCATTGTTAGGTGACTGGAAGAAAATCATGCCCCCAATAAGTTAATAATAATACTCCCCACCAATACAGTTCCGAAACAGTTTAATAAGTTACACGTAACAAGGAAAATACTTCAGGAGGTGTCTGGATTATCAGGAGGAGACAGGTTTAGGAAACTCGGTCCTAAAATCTACTGAAGATAATCCAGCTAAAAATTGTGACCATACATACAGCAGCATTCTCCCCAGTCTCGTACATCTTGTCCTGGCTGTACTCTTCTGGTTTTCTTGCCTTTCTCCAGACCTTCTGTCTCCAAACTCTTACACAGGGATGCCCCCACCCCTCCCAATTTCCCCACGTGACCAAGTGACAGCCGATCTGTTCTAATCCTATGAAGGGTACCCTCCTGCCCACTGCGAGCAGGCAAAGCCCAATGAGATGGATCCACTTCTCCCAAGAGGCCGAAATCAGGCCTGGAGCTTGACAGGCTAAGAATTTAAAGACCAGATGATGCTCTTTGCCCACAAGGGCGCCATCCTCACTATTTATATGAGTGAGACACCCCCAGGCAATTTCGACCATATGGAGAACATCCTTGGGCTGCCACAAAACCCTGCCATGTGCCGAGCAATCTGGGCCACATTGCCACAGAGTTTCAGCACACAGCCTGGGATTCGTTTGGGTTTGTGTTCCAGCTGAGCCCTCAGTGACACCATCAAACCCTTCACTGACTTAATAATCAATATTAAAATAGAACTGCGATGCTATTTTCATAGTTCGGGGTTAGAAAGAATCGGCATTGATGAGTGCATCTCCATCTCTAATGAAGATAAAATGTACGCAGTAACTTGTAAAACCTCCAATTGACATCACAAAATAGATGAGATCTCCAGGTCTGCGCAGCTCCTTATACTACGATTCAGAATGAGGCAACAAAACGTCCAGCGTTGTGGCCTTATTACATTGTAAACAAGCAGGCTTGTGAATCCATCTCTTTTAATCCAATGGAAATATTGCTGTCAGCTTTTACAAATACTACTTACTTGTTAACTCTGCATGCAGATCACGTTGGAACATTTCTGCGGTGAAATGTCTGCTGCACAACCTGGACTTATTCACTCGAATACTACTTACTTGTTAACTCTGCATGCAGATCACGTTGGAACATTTCTGCGGTGAAATGTCTGCTGCACAACCTGGATTTATTCTCTCATACATCACAGTACATTAGTCA